CCTCCGCTGCTGCCTCGGGGTTCTCCTTACCCTTGTGCTGCTCCTTGGCTGCTGCACCACTCTCCTTAGGTTCACCGCGCTTGCCGGTCTCTCCAAGATTGCACTTCTTGGACTCAATCTCCTTAGCGCGACCGTCCGCGCCATTGCCGCTACCAACCGCTTCACCCTTGGTGCTGATGCTTGCTGCCACTTGCCTCTCCTTAGGCATGGGAACCACAGGGATCTGCCACATCTCGTTGTAGACATCCTTGTCCTCATGAAGGTCCCAAAGAATTCGATCGCCAAGCCTTGCGGTGTAGGTCTTGGCTCCCTTCGAGTTCGTGTCCATGCCGGCCTTTGCCAACCGCCGCGCGGAAATCAGGTTTGCAGCAAGGCTGGGCACCCAAAGCACGTTCTTGAGGCCCACCATCTTCCCATCAGCACCCTTGAACATGGCCTTCCCCATGCCTTTCACCTCTGCTCGCTGCCCCGAAGCCGATGTAACATGCTTCACCGGTGAGGGCTCGAGTTCGGTGAGCAGGTCCGGGCGAGGTGTCATGCTATAGTTAGCGCCACTATCGATCACCCAATAGTCCAGGGGGTGAAGGGTCACCTTCCCCACAGCTGCTGGCTCCTCAAAGCCTTCTCTGGACCAGTCGGTACTTGCGTCGACACGAAGTAGAATAGACCCGGGTACCGATCGTCGCTCGGGTCCTTGTCGTTGTCTCCGCTCTTCATGTTTGCAGCTCCGCCACCGCGACCGCCACGGCCTCCACGGCCTCTTCCTCTCCCTCCTCGTGCTCCTCTACCCTCCTTGCCTTGAGCAGGGGTCCATCCATCAGGGAGCTTGTAGCAATCGCGCCACATGTGTCCGGTCTTATGACAATAATGGCATTCGCCATCGAATCGGCCGCGACCGCGCCCGTAGTTCTTGTCGTCGCTGCCGTAACCGCCACTCCCGCGGCCTCCGCCGAAGTTGCTGCCACCAAGCCTTCCTCCCCTCCGTCCTCTGCCTCTTCCTCGACCTCCACGGCCGATGCTCGCTGCCCCAGCGCCATCCGCACTCGCCAACTCACGGCGGCGGAAATCCTCTTGAAGGATAGCTCGCTTCACGTCTTCGAGCGAGAGGCGGGGCAAGTCGCGATTGAGGTTGATGATGAGCGAGGACCATGACTCAGGGAGTAGGGCCAGCAACTTGGTCTTCTTTTGGAGCTCACTATAGTTCAAATCAGCTCCCTCAAGCCGTGTCAACAAGTCGAAGAATTTCTGCACCCCTTCTTCAACCGCTTCATCCTCTTCAATTCGTAACGTCGCCATTTGCCGTTCCAACACCACAGCAACCGCCGCTGTTGCAGGAGCGTTTACATCCTTGAGAGCAGCCCATGCCTTTGGTCCCTTCTCTGGTTCACGCTGGAATGGCTTGATGTGACGAATCTGGCTGCTCCCCAACGCTTGCCCAAGTAGGAGGTAGCCTTGTGCGCTCTTCCGCACCCACGGGCTCTTCTCCGGGTCGTTCTCGGGGTGCTTCTCCGTTCCTTCCATCACCTCCAGCAGGTCATAGTGGTCAAATACGTTCTTCATTCTGAAGGACCACTCAGCAATGTTGTCACCGTTGAACTTGTCAAGGCCAAACACTCTAGGCTCATCCCTAGATGGGCCAACGCTTGGTTGCACGGGAGCCATGGCTGCGTCACGGGGTTGGCCTTGAGCTTGGGCTTCTCCATTGCCTCCAGCACCTCTGCCTCCCCTTTCCTCAGGTCCAGCCATTGTCGAAACTGCTCCAAGGGGCTCTGATACCACTTGTTATAGTCACAGTAGGCTACAACGTGCCTAAAACGAAAGATAGAGTGCACAGTCGGATTTCTGCACAGCGGCTTTAAACGATCATAGCGTTCTGGTCACAGCTTCAATTGACCTGATTCAACTTAGATCTGAAGCGTCTTAACGTCGCCTACAATAGGCAATTTAGATCGCACGATTTCACCAAGTATTGACAACACAGCGTTGGTTTGAACGAACGGCACTACGGCAGCCACTATAGTCTTAGAACACAAATTAGGAAGAGTTGGCAAGAGTTACGAGTTGGGAATGACTCCCAGCTCCTACAAACCCCAAAAGCTGAGGTACACTGATGTGGAACAGTGCCACACTGTCCCCAACCAAGAAGGGTCTCGAAACTACCCTTCACTAGGGCCTACACCAAGTGAAATGTTACACAACACGAAGTAATGTAACTATCTTCAATTTCTTGAGGTGTACACTTTTGGCGAGCTTCGCGATCACTTGAATGTTGACACCAGGGCTCGGGTTCTTCATCACAAACTCATCCTTGATTCCTTGATGGGTCTGCTGCACACACCTGCGACACGCCGAACGTTCGACAAGCGACAAAATAGAAACCGCGCACGACAAAATAGAAACCGCGCGGGACACACAAAATGCCCGCATAACACGAGACTAGCGATAACTCGCTATTGTCTCGAAACACACACTCGACATCATGACCCATCATTCACACACTATTATAAGCATGAAATATATACTATTCCATGCCTTCATTCCATTCCATGCACACACGCATGCACGCACACGGACAACAAGCCGAGTGCAAACCGTAGGGTTGCACCAACAGCTGCCTCATGTACCTGATGACCTGCACTCGACCTGACCAGGCATACCCTTATAGCATCTTGGCACGCTACGTTGCCCCTGGGAGACACTGACCAGAGCACATGGATGCAGCTAAGTGGGTGTTGCGCTACCTGTGCACTACGTCGGGCATGAGGCTCGTGCTTGGAGGACGGGCTCGAGTTGTCCTGAGTGGTCACGCAGACGCTTCTTAGGTTGATGACTTGGCTACACAGCGGTCGTCACAGGGTTATACCTTTAGCCTTGGTTTCGGCTCTATTTCGTGGCGGTCTATGCGCTTGTCTTGTGAGGTTGAGATCTACGCTGGGGCCATGGCTACACAGAAGTTACGCTAGCTCACCTACCTGCTGACCGACTTGGGAGAGGCGCATCGTTCTCCTCTAGTTCTGTACGTCGACAACAAGGCCATGCTGGCCTTGTGTCAAGAGCACAGACTGGAGCACAGAACGAAGCACATTGCTCTGTGCTACTTCCTTGCTCGAGAGTTGCAGCAACGTGGTCAGCTTCGTCTTGCTTACGTGGCCACTCGGGCCAACACTGCTGATATCTTTACCAAGGCACTTCAGCCTTGTGATCATCAGCGTTTTTGTACTGTGTTAGGTCTTGTGCCTACCTGGCCTCACTTGCTCACCTCTTGACTTTGTCTTGTACTCTGATATATAAACCTGCATGTTTCTGGTTGCTAGGTTGTATTCATTGTACTGCATGTGAACTTCCCTTGTGGCCACCTGCTTGTGCTCAGATTGTGTGGTGCCCTTGAGATCCACCCTGGGCTTTGCCTTGTTTGTTCTCCTGCTTGACTGGTCTTGTGACCACTGTTAGGTTTGGCTATCCCCTACTTCACCTATGGGGGTGTGTCAAATTATCTACTTCTAGTTATTTCTCTTTAGGTTGTGTAGGGGACATTCCTTAGAGGGTACAACCCATTTCTCTCGATTGTCTTGTACCCCCTCCCCTTACCTAATCGACATACCTTCCTAGTATTCGCAACAAGATGTTAGCAGAGACATCTTTGAAATACAACTCGATAACTGCAGGATTAGACGCCTTCTCTTTCAGGCAAGCTGGGTTTTTCGTATGTTGCCAGAAGAGTGTAACCTTTCCTTTAGGCCGCTGATAATCTGTTACGATATAAAGCTTTATGAGAAGACATTTCTGTATGCTGCAGGAGCTGACTCTACCGAGTACGAAGTCGAGGAGTCAGAAGAGTTGAAGCGACGCAACAACCGTCTGACCAAGACCGATGCAGGCAGAAACATTTGAAGTGAAAAAGGCGGGAACATGTTCAAAACGGGTTCCCGCGCCGCACGGTTTGAATTCGGCTGTAATAAGGGAATGTACCCCTTAGAGTACATGGCTAGTCTAGGTCCTTTCGTATTCCCCTGTACTCTTATCTAAACTCGATGTATGCATGCTTTTATTAACTCAGTCATTTACATTCACTCTGACCTGCGATTCAAACTTCTCGCTGCAACACTACTCTGCGATCAACCCTGAGCGATCCTTCGCTAAGTTCCTTTTGGGATTCTAACATATTCCACCGTCTTCGTTCTGACTGCTGACGCATCCTCTTCGCGCAGGAAAGAGAGTTGAAGACGGCAGAAATGTTGCTTCGCGACGAATGCAGCCGGGAGGGTCTGGACTGAAGCCGTGTCAATAGCTCCCGCCGAGAGTGAAGAGACCCAGACTTTGCGTAAGAGTGCCCACACCATGTTGATGACAGCACCCAGCTCCTGCAGCAGCATGAAGTGTATTAGCAGGATGGCCGTGTAGCGAAGACGAGCTGCAGCTTCCTGTTGAATGTCAATGTCCAGCTCCTCATCAGAGTCATCTTCAAGGAATCCGTCTGCATATGGCTGACATGTCGTTGTGGCCTTCTCTGCAGGAGATAAGCCGGAGCTCCCAGCCTCTGACAGTGATTCAGGAGTCACAGCGTCGCCGTTAACCAGAGCATCAGGAGATGTAGGGAGCACCACAGGGTTCTCCTTAGGCAGGTTCTCCTCTACTACCTGCTTTCCCTTAGCAGGGACGCGAGGCATGGTGCAGTGATGACAAAGAACCGGCAGGAAAGTTGACTGTAAGGCTCTGAAAGCCTGATGAGCCGGATGTTTGAGCGCGACACCGTTAAATAATATCGTAGTATGAGCATCAGGCCATAGCTCGTGCTGTAGGTGTTGGTAAGCTGCTGATAAGACCTTGAGACTGCACTGCACCGTGATATTGAGAAATCTGCTGCTCCAACAGGAGCATGTCGCGTTGTCATGGTTGTTTAGTGAGAACCTTGCTAGTTGATCGCTGATTAGATGAGCCTTGATAATGGTTAGCTGAGAGAACAATAGGTAAGACTTCGAGAAAGATACAATGTTTGTCAGATGTTCTCGAAAGGGGAAGCGGTGGAAGAGAAGCGTTTTATCCCCTGGAATTATCGGCTGGTCTGCACGCCGCGGAAAGACGGAGGATTGGGGTTGATATGTCCCGAAAGGCGGGTCGACAACATCGCCATTCGTTGTGTCTGCAGGCTGGTGCTGAAGCCGAACTCGGTTAAGAAGTGGCTGGTGGAGAAAGCGGCGGAGATGCCCCTGGGGCTGGACACAATCTTCGCACACAGGTCGCTGCTGGATCACTGGGAGAAAGGGAGCGCACGGTGGAAGGAGTTAGTTGAAAAATCCTGGGACTCTCCGCTATGCAAACCACGGGCTCCAACAAACCGCTGGGAGGTGGAACAGGAACATCTGGCATTCAACCCGAACATCCCCTTCAGAGGCGCGAGCCCCTTCGGGAACCAGAAAGGTGCAGAGGCGCTGCTCGGCGTCCGCATGGGTGACTTGATTGTTAAGGCGCGGGACGGAACATGTGAGCTCAAGAAGCTGGCAGCGCTGGCAAGGGAGCTCGGCTGCAGGGAGAAGGCAAAGTGGGCATTGAGGGCTTTCAATGCAGCACCCACGGTCTGGAAGGAGATGATACTCGCGAAATTGACAGGCGAGGAGGTAGCGGCTACGGTGAAGCTAGTGCCGTCGAATAACAGCGCAACTGGAGGTTTTACCTACTGGAAAGTCGGCGAAGCAAGAGGCGACACGATGGATGGGACACTGTGCGATATAGGGGACGGAGGGCACTTCTCACCCTACAAGGGAAACCTCACGTTGCACTTCAACCTGCGTAGTGGGGTGCCGATGTTCACGGAAGGAAGTGTGTTCCTGGGGCCCATGGGGGACGTGCGGACGAAGCTATTGCTCTCAGCGGCATGTGAAGGAGGGGAGCTAATCTCGCTGAAAGGGATAAGGAAGGTGCTGGCAGACTCGGCCGGACCACAAGAAGAACAAAGAAGATGGGAAGGACAGAGGAGGGAGATCGAGTGGGACAGGGTCATCGAACAGAGAGATTCCCTGGTCACCCCACGGCGGGCACGTGAAGTCCTCATACGGCTCCACTGTAGGAACCTGCAAGTGGGCTCGAGGCTGTTTTTCATGGGGGTGGTTTGCCCGCACTGCCAGGGAGAGGAAACCCCGGATCACTGCCTCCTTGACGGCCTTGCAGTACAGGGGGTGGCGGATGTGATGAGGCATGGGCTGGAAATAATGCGCCCGGGCCTAGCGTGGCAGGATCTGGAGGATCTGCTCTTCATGCAAAGAAGCACAAGGTCGGGCTTTCCAGAAGGGACATGGATTGCAACTTTCCTGCATCAAGTATGGTTGGCCAGATGCAACGCGGTGTGGAGGGATGAAGCTTTCCAGACTGGGAAGGTGGCTCGGCAGGCGGTGGTAAAGTTTGTCGCACATGCGAGGGTATACTGCGCGGCGCGCAGAGAATCAGCGCGGTTGAAGGGACATGCTTTGGACGGTGATTGGGCTTACCTGGCAGACGACTAGGCAGTGGTGATGCGGCGTATCTGCAGCTGCGACGCACCGCTGACGTGGAGGATCAGCTTCAGCTCTGTGTGGGACAACCCCAGGCTGACACATCAGCCACCGTAGCTGCCTTAGAGGGGATCTGCAATACTAGCTTTTGTAGCGCTCCCCTCAATCCTACAGTTACGACTGCCGATGTCTATACATTCCTGTAATGTATTTGATATAAAAAAAAAAAAACAAGATTCGACGTTTACGTCGTAAGGGTTGCGTAGGGTTATATTCCTCGTATATGAAACATATGTTTAATGTATCATGCTTCTGGAAATCGATTATCAATGTTGTATTTACTTAGAAAATTTGTAATTATATATATTTATATGTACGCATGAAAATGTTTGGAGTTTTGCCAGGGAACAATTTGGAGAATGGGGATTTTGTTGCGATTATGATTAGGCAATTTTTCTACCTCGATCTACTTTATTGTTGTTTCCTATTATATTGCACTATCAAGTTAGTATGGTGAATCGTTTCTTGTCCCTACAACGTGACAACTTGTATCTGAACAGAACATATCCACTCTTCTAACGAGTAAACTTTGTATTCTTCCTTTGCACACCTGTCAAACCAAATTCGACGCTCCTCTCTTCTTCATTCTTGGTTCTTGATTCTTGTTTTCTTGTTCTTAGGTTCTTGCTCTTCTTTGGTTCCTGCCGTCCCGCCTGCCTACTATGTTAGCTTTTCTATTCTCCTAACACTCCGCCGCCACCTCTCCTTGTCAGAATATTATCTTATGTTCTAGCCTGTAGTGGGGTGCTCTATAGCGAGTACAACCCTTCTAGGGTTTTGCTATTTGTATCCCCATTTCTGCTAGTTCATTCCTCTTTCTTTCTTCTAAACTTTGTCACTCCTCCCATCCCACTGTGTCCTCTCCCTCACTCCCCGCCATCTCCTCTACCTCCCTCTCAGCCGCCGTCGCCGCTCCTTCCTATCCTGCATCGCCTCCGCCTCCCACCCCGTCATAGCCTCTCCCTTCCTCCTCTCCGTCGCCTCTCCCTCCCTTCCCGCCATCGCCTCTGGTGGGTGCACGAGCATGAGCGCGGGTTTCTGCCCGACCGCGCGTTGTTTTCTGAGGCACCGTTGTCTCAGGTGCGTTTACGTTTTCCGGACCTATTACCTCCCTCCTCCCTCCGAGAATTCCTATTTTCTACGTTCTTCGTAAGTTCTCTGTGCCAATTGGTTTCCTTTTAGCATTGTGCTCCCATTGGTTTCCTCTTTAGTATTGCGCTAGCGCCCTGCGCGCTGGGGCCCTGCGTGCTGGCGCCCTGCGCGCTGGCGCCCTGCGCGCTAGCGCCTAACGCGCTGGCGCCTTGCGCGCTGGCGCCTTGCGCGCTGGCGCCTTGCGCGCTGGCGCCTTGCGCGCTGGCGCCTTGCGCGCTGGCGCCTTGGGCGCTGGCGCCTTGCGCGCTGGCGCCTTGGGCGCTGGCGCCTTGCGCGCTAGCGCCTTGCGCGCTGGCGCCTTGGGCGCTGGCGCCTTGGGCGCTGGCGCCTTGCGCGCTGGCGCCTTGCGCGCTGGCGCCTTGGGCGCTGGCGCCTTGGGCGCTGGCGCCTTGCGCGCTGGCGCCTTGGGCGCTGGCGCCTTGGGCGCTGGCGCCTTGCGCGCTGGCGCCTTGGGCGCTGGCGCCTTGGGCGCTGGCGCCTTGCGCGCTGGCGCCTTGCGCGCTGGCGCCTTGGGCGCTGGCGCCTTGCGCGCTGGCGCCCTGCGCGCTGGCGCCTAATGTCAGAATATTATCTTATTGTTCTAGCATGTAGTGGGGTGCTCTATAGCGAGTACAACCCTTCTAGGGTTTGCTATTTGTATCCTCATTCTTGCTAGTTCAATCCTCTTTCTTCTTCTAACTTTTGTCATGCTATCAGAGCAGGTCGATCCCCTTGGATCGATCCTGTGGGTGGGTTTCCAACTCGCTTCCGCTGCTACCTTTCCTTCCCGCCGTGCGCCCCGAGGCGCGCGGCGGTTTTCCTTCCCGCCGTGCGCCCCGAGGCGCGCGGCGGTTTTCTGCCCGCCGTGCGCCCCGGGGCGCGCGGCGGTTCTTTGCCCGCTGTGCGCCCCGAGGCGCGCGGCGGGCGTCTGCCCTACCTTCGCGGGCGTCCGCCCTACGTCGCGACCCCGCCCTACGTCGCGGCCCCGCCCTGCGTCGCGGCCCCGCCCCTCGAAGCGGCCCTGCCCTACGTCGCGGCCCTGCCCCGACCGTCGCGGCCCCGCCCTACGTCGCGGCCCCGCCCTGTGTCGCGGCCCCGCCCCTCGAAGCGGCCCTGCCCGACCGTCGCGGCCCCGCCCCTCGTCGCGGCCCCGCCCCTCGTCGCGGCCCCGCCTCTTGTCGCGGCCCCGCCCTCCAACCAGGCCCGTGGTGGGCCCCTTTCACCACACCGCCCCCCCCCCCCCCCTCCCCCTGCCATTTCCCGTCGCCCGTCGCGGCTCCTTCGGGGGCCGCGAGCTGTGGGGTGGCGGGTATGGGGGTGCTCGGTGTGCCTTCCTCCCTTTGCTCCTCCTCCTCCTTCGTCTCCCACTGCTGCAGCTGTCGCTGAGGGGGGTGGTTGTGTGGGAGACTCGGGTTTAGGGTTTAAGAGGGGTGCGTGGGAGTGCAGCTAGCGGTGTAGCAGTGGGTGTGCATCAGGGGGGTGGGACTGTGTGCGGGAGGTTGAGTGGAGGTTGTCAGTTTGTCGTTCGCAGCACCTGTAGTCCGGGGCGCTGTCCCGGTAGCCCAGTCGTAGCCAGCTGTGCCAGCCGCCCGTGGGTCCGTTGCCCGTCCGCCGCTATTTGAGCCGCGGGGCCGGTTACTCCTGTAGTCCGGGCGCTGTCCGGTAGCCGCTGTGCCAGTGTGCCTCCTGTTGCCCGTGTGCCTGCAGCTTCAGCCGTCGCCTCCTATCTCCTCTCCCCTCACTCTCTCTCCTCCTCCTCACTTGCCCGTTGTGACTACCACTAGCTCTGCTCATAATTGTGAACTCTAAACTATCTCTTCTTGAACTTGTGCTTAGAATGTGTGGTGACATTGTGATCCACCCTGAGCTTGTACTACTTTGCCTGCTCTGCTGATTACACCCCACTTTGGCTATGGGGGTGTGTCAGAATATTATCTTATTGTTCTAGCCTGTAGTGGGGTGCTCTATAGCGAGTACAACCCTTCTAGGGTTTGCTATTTGTATCCCCATTTCTGCTAGTTCAACCCTCTTTTCTTTCTTCAAACTTTGTCACCTAACGCGCTGGCGCCTTGCGCGCTGGCGCCTTGCGCGCTGGCGCCTTGCGCGCTGGCGCCTTGCGCGCTGGCGCCTTGGGCGCTGGCGCCTTGCGCGCTGGCGCCTTGCGCGCTGGCGCCTTGCGCGCTGGCGCCTTGCGCGCTGGCGCCTTGGGCGCTCGCGCCTTGCGCGCTCCCGCCTTGCGCGCTCGCGCCTTGCGCGCTCGCGCCTTGCGCGCTCGCGCCTTGCGCGCTCGCGCCTTGCGCGCTCGCGCCTTGGGCGCTGGCGCCTTGCGCGCTGGCGCCTTGCGCGCTGGCGCTTTGCTGCAGTGAGCTCACGCCTTGCTGCAGTGAGCTCACGCCTTGCTGCAGTGAGCTCACGCCTTGCTGCAGTGAGCTCTCGCCTTGCTGCAGTGAGCTCACGCCTTGCTGCAGTGAGCTCACGCCTTGCTGCAGTGAGCTCACGCCTTGCTGCAGTGAGCTCACGCCTTGCTGCAGTGAGCTCACGCCTTGCTGCAGTGAGCTCATGCCTTGCTGCAGTGAGCTCACTCCTTGCTGCAGTGAGCTCACGCCTTGCTGCAGTGAGCTCACGCCTTGCTGCAGTGAGCTCACGCCTTGCTGCAGTGAGCTCACGCCTTGCTGCAGTGAGCTCACGCCTTGCTGCAGTGAGCTCACGCCTTGCTGCAGTGAGCTCACGCCTTGCTGCAGTGAGCTCACGCCTTGCTGCAGTGAGCTCACGCCTTGCTGCAGTGAGCTCACGCCTTGCTGCAGTGAGCTCACGCCTTGCTGCTGTGAGCTCACGCCTTGCTGCTGTGAGCTCACGCCTTGCTGCAGTGAGCTCACGCCTTGCTGCAGTGAGCTCACGCCTTGCTGCAGTGAGCTCACGCCTTGCTGCAGTGAGCTCACGCCTTGCTGCAGTGAGCTCACGCCTTTCTGCAGTGAGCTCACGCCTTGCTGCAGTGAGCTCACGCCTTGCTGCAGTGAGCTCACGCCTTGGTGCAGTGAGCTCACGCCTTGCTGCAGTGAGCTCACGCCTTGCTGCAGTGAGCTCACGCCTTTCTGCAGTGAGCTCACGCCTTGCTGCAGTGAGCTCACGCCTTGCTGCAGTGAGCTCACGCCTTGCTGAAGTGAGCTCACGCCTTTCTGCAGTGAGCTCACGCCTTGCTGCAGTGAGCTCACGCCTTTCTGCAGTGAGCTCATGCCTTGCTGCAGTGAGCTCACGCCTTTCTGCAGTGAGCTCATGCCTTGCTACGGCTGCCCCCTTGCTCCTCTGCCGGTGCCTTGCTGCAACTCTCTAGCACCTTGTAGCATGGCGATGCCCAGCCCGTTGCACCTTCCTCGCTGGAGCCACTAGCATGGTGTGCTTGACCCCAGGGAATCTATGCCTCAAACCACACTTGTGAGTCGTCAAATTCTGTTTCCTTTTGTACTTATCATATTTCAACCCATACTTGCTTTTCAAGTTCTATTTCACAATCAAGTGCATGCTCGTCACTGAAATTCACTCGGTTTTCTGACTACAATTCATTTTCTACTTGACCTGTTTGTTTTGCAAGGTATGCGAGATGCGTTGTGGGGAGCAGGGAGGGTAATTCGAGAGACGAAGTCAATGTGGAAAAGGGTGGAAGGAGATTTTGATGGAGGGAGAGGAAGGCAGGCGGAAAGGGGGAGGAAGTAGCAGTGATTGATACATAATTAACTTATTGCAACTCTTTGTTTTGTCTGCTATCAATCCTATTTGTGTATGTATGTGTGTGTTTGTGCGGGTGTGCTCGTTGTGTTTGTTTCACTGTGGGGTTGCATTCTAATGCGTTTGGTTAGATGGGTTGTACTTTTTTTTACGTGCGTTTGCATTCATGTTTGTGGGATGTGTGTTTCAAAGTGTGGTGTTAGTATGTGTCATGTATGCAATTAGAGTTTGTTAATCGTCTTTGGGGCAGCGGGTTTTCGCTGTTTCAACGACCCCATCAACCTCTGTTGTTACATGATGCATTTTAACATTCATTTTGAAGCATCCACCTACATTTCATACTTTGTTGTTCATCTGTACAATTGCATTCGTTCATGTTGAATCCAGAATATTATGCTCGGCCGTACCATCCGCCGTATTAATCGACCAGGTGGGACGGTCGAACAAGTTCGTGGTTTCAACATGATACGCACGTGCATGGTTTCACGTTTATGGATCTCATTCAAGAGTGGTTTTTATTCACTATTTGAGGCATCCGTTTGAACAAAGTCTTAGAAGTTCAAATGTGTGCTCCAAAGAGTGTATGGAAAATCAACTTTGAAATGATATCCCCAAAATGTGAAACCAAATATAAAGGGTTGCTACGCAACCCAAAAAAAAAAAAAAAAAAACCTAAAGAGCACCAATCTCTTCGTCTTATCGAGGCGAATCGGAAGCTGTTATAACCACCATGTACCTTTTATAAACTTTTGGCAATGGCCCTGCCAAATGTATACTGCTGCTTTAAAGCCAGGTGACATCCTTGTGCGCTTGTGTTTGGTTGGTGGACACACCCTTCTTCCCCCGCCCCCCGCTCCAAAGCCCAACTCCCACTGGTTTGGAGCAGCGGCAGCCCTCCGAACGAGTTGGGAGAACTCCGCTGGGGACTGCTTTCTCCCCGCACCCACCATCGAGCGAGACTTGTCTTGTCTCGTCAGCGCGCCAGCGCGCCAGGTTCACCGCGCTAGCTTGCCTGGTGGTCCTGATTTTGATTGAGCCCTGACCTGACCAGAGTGCAGACTCGGTTCGGCTTGGCAGCAGAGCAACAATCATCGCTGCACTCCCCCGCCGAATATATCTCAGATGGTCGTCAGGCTTGACGAACCAATTCCGCTGAGATATTCCAGACCGAGTCCATCCAGCGGTCCAATCTTCCCCACAGAAAATCCAGCGTGCTTGACTTGGCGGACTTGGGTTTGCCATTTTGGCTTGTTTGGCAGCGGCGAACCAAGAGTGGGTTTGCTTTGCGCGCGAACAGATTGGTTTGGTTTGGAAACCGTTTGCAGAGCCTTCCATCGAGCAGATTTTATCGCTGATGACGTGGCGTGTGGCAGTTGGTTTGGTGAGAGATGGGATGGGACGTGCGTGTGGGATGGAGAGAAAAGGAGAGAATTGC